TTGAAGACAAAACTAAACTTAGATGTTTCATGGAATATCAGTCACATGGTGGTTGGTAAGAAGAACTTCCCCATGTTCTGTTTTTGTCTTGAGGTTTCATGTGGTCAGTTAACTGGGAGATGTCCTGGCTATTTATAAAGCGCTCCTTGCTGCCTATTGTCCAGCCAGTGGACAGCATGAGATGTTTACAGCAGTTCTGGTGATTGAACCTCCACGCCTCTGACTTAGTGTCTCTACACTTGAAGCCGTCTTTTGAAATGTGTGTATTGCTTCCATTTGGTCAAATCACGTATGAAATTCCTTTTAGAAGAAGTGGCTTATTAACAGGGAAGGAGTCGTAAGAATAGCCTTAGGTATTTAGATTTTTTTATATTACAAAAGACTCAGCCATCACGGGTATTTTAGAGTCCCAGGGACATCAGGATGAAGTGGTGTCAGTTGTCAGATTCTTTTAACAGTAATATGTCTTCAGAGTTTTTGCTACAACATCTAGAAAGTGGTGCATTTTTAATTTCACACCAATTAAGTATGCTGGGTGAAACAAGTCACTCATTGCCTGTGACCTTTTAGAAAAGTTGTTGTCTCATCAAAATACTGTACCTATTATTAATCTCACTTTGCATTGACTATGTTTTAGTGTATTTATAAACGGGGAACTCAGTTTCTGAAATTAAACTTTTTATTTGCAATTTTCCACTGTTAGAAGACACTGGCTCTTTCTTCTTAGGTTGATAAAATAGTCATCCTCTTTGGGGTCCAATACACATGAAAACCACATTCATGTAGCCATTGGATTTTCACCTTAGCTCCAGGTAGGATATGGGAGAGGTGACGTGCTTCTTACAACAGCCTTTCTGAGATGGTGCTGACTTATATTCAGAGTGAGTGCTGTGCCATGTGTGGTGCCCTAACTGAAGAGTCTGTAGGCAACTTGGCTGTTGTCTTTGCCATGTAGCCTCTCCCCTGGGTTGCTGAGCTCTAGCAGAGTAGAAGCTCCGATCCCCTACACCCAGCCAGGCAGTTGTGCATGTTTTCCTGGAGTAGCTTGCACACTGTGTGTGAGCCAGGGCTGGGCAAACGGGCCATGCCCTCCAAATGCCAGGGATTTGTGCTAATTGCTGATTCTGATTGCAGAGCTGCAGACAAGGTAGACAGCCATATTGTTTCCCCTCCACCACTGAAGTGGTTTCCAGGGGATTTATGGTGTCAGCACCTTTCCCCTAACTTCTATCCCCCACCTATACTTATCCCTTGTCCTCTTTCAGGACACAGACAGTCAAAACTAACTGGTGCATATATTGGGAAAATAGAAAGTGATTGATATAACCAAAGAAAGACACAGAAAAGACGTAAGAAGATACTAAGTTTATGCCTCAGGCAGAGATTGCCTACAATAACTAAAAATTCTAACAAAAAAGCAAACTCTGGGGAGGGGGAAGAATCTCATTTGGAGGGTTATCACATTACTAGATTCAAATGTACAATTTCAACAAATAATCCCAAAGCATACAAAGAATCAGGAAAATATGGCCCATTAAAAGAAAAAAAAAATGAACAAGAACTGTTCTTGAAAAACAACCTGGTGGTGGATCTACCAGACAAGGACTTAAAAACAAGTATCTTAAAGATGCTTAAAGAACTAAAGGAAGATATGGAGAAATTTAGAAAATTTTCAAACAAAATTAAAATATCAACAATAACAGAAACCTAAGAGCAAAAAGAAATTTGGAGGTGAAAAGAATAACTGAAATTAAAATTTCACTAGAGGGATTCAATAGCAAGATCAAGCAGAAAAAAGAATCAGCTTGAATATCGACAATTGAAATTACTGAGTCTGAAAGACAAATAAAAATGATTACTGCAAAGTGGACAGAGCCTAAGGGACCTGTGGGACATCAAGAAGCAAGCCAACATACACATTGTGGGATTCCCAGAAGGAGAAGGGAAATGAAAGTGGCAGAGAATATGTGAACAGATAATGATGAATAACTTACCAAATTTGATGAAATACATTAATAAAAATATCCCATGCCTGTCTGGTGTGGCTCAGTGCTTGAGCATAGGCTCATGAACCAGAAGGTCTAAGTTCAATTACCTGTCAGGGCATATGCTCAGGCGAGTCCTGCAGGGTCANAAAAAAATGAACAAGAACTGTTCTTGAAAAACAACCTGGTGGTGGATCTACCAGACAAGGACTTAAAAACAAGTATCTTAAAGATGCTTAAAGAACTAAAGGAAGATGTGGAGAAATTTAGAAAATTTTCAAACAAAATTAAAATATCAACAATAACAGAAACCTAAGAGCAAAAAGAAATTTGGAGGTGAAAAGAATAACTGAAATTAAAATTTCACTAGAGGGATTCAATAGCAAGATCAAGCAGAAAAAAGAATCAGCTTGAATATCGACAATTGAAATTACTGAGTCTGAAAGACAAATAAAAATGATTACTGCAAAGTGGACAGAGCCTAAGGGACCTGTGGGACATCAAGAAGCAAGCCAACATACACATTGTGGGATTCCCAGAAGGAGAAGGGAAATGAAAGTGGCAGAGAATATGTGAACAGATAATGATGAATAACTTACCAAATTTGATGAAATACATTAATAAAAATATCCCATGCCTGTCTGGTGTGGCTCAGTGCTTGAGCATAGGCTCATGAACCAGAAGGTCTAAGTTCAATTACCTGTCAGGGCATATGCTCAGGCGAGTCCTGCAGGGTCAAATGGAAAGACACAAGAAGACGTGTGAAGAAATAAAGTGTTCAGAAAATGTAAATACAGGGGCAATTATAAAAGCTAGTCTTACTGTAACAGTGCTTTTGTAACTCCACGTTTTGTTTTCTGCATGTTTAAGAGACTGATACATTTAAAAAACAATTAATTACTTCTGGTTTGGGGTCCTCAGTAAGAAACTTTCAAGTCACCTCTCCATCCTAACAGGTGAAAAGCAGGACAAACTGAAACATCAGCCACTCTTTCTGGGATCTGTAAGAGACAGGAGGACATGGCAAACCCCTGCTATCAAGACTGGAGAGACAGGTGAACACAAGTCATCATGGCTTCCTGGAGCAGAGAGTCATGGGCAGAAACCGCCAGGGGAACCTGTGCCCCAGGTTCTCTAAACCATAGGTGGTGAATTTCTGGAGGGTCAGCATGAACTCTGCTGAGAGTTAAATACTCCAGGGAGACCCAGTCATACAGGCCCCACCCTATGGCACGATTTTTCTCTAGGAGCATGAGCAGGTTCCCACAGCAAATGGCAGAGACAAGTCCCCTCATGCTTCCAGCAAGAGGAAGGGAAAGGGGCCATTAAAAGACACCAGAGTACTGTTGTTAACAAGGCCCACACTCAGGAGAAACTACCATACCAGGGCCTGACTGACTGGAAAAGAGAACTACCCAACTCCAGCTCCCTCCAGCCATGGGCTAAGAACACAGAGGCACAGACTTCACTAAAGACTGAGCCTGATCGGGGGACCGCAGAACACTCCCCTCCCCACACCTCACCACCGCCTCATTAAGGCATATTAACAGCAGCTCCTTTCACCTGGTGCATCTTCTCTGGCTATCCAGATAAAATGACAAGGCAGAAAACAAAGACTGAAGAGACTAGAGCCAACATGGACAATGCCAGACACTGGTGAGGAGGTGGAGCCCAGGAACGCTTAGTCACTGCTGGTGGGAACCCAACGTGGTACAGCTACTCTGGAGGATAGTTTGCCTGTTTCTTACAAAACTACACACACACACCATATGATCAGCAATCAGGCTCGGTATTTACCCACAGGAACTGGACTCTTATATGCACATTGTAGCTTCATTTGTAATTGCCTTTATTTGTAATCTTGATGCAGAAGTTCAGTTTGTGATTTCAAATCTCCAAGGCAAAGACAGACCTTTAGTAAATACACAGCCATGTGGAGAAGATAAAATTAGCCCCACCCTCACATTGTACAAAAAAAACCAAAAAACATCCAAACAATGAGAGGTCTACACGTGAGAAAGAAGCTACAGAAGTACGGAGATGAAACGACGCTGAACTGCACGGGAAACCTGCCAAGTATGATGGGGGAAGAAGACTCATAAACGTGAAAACCGCAAGTTGAGAACATTTCTGCAGAGTCAAAAGACATGGAGAAATCACTTGCATCGTACTTTGTAATGGTGAAAACCCTAATTGAAGAATTTTTAGAACAAAACTCTGCCTTTGAGTTATGGAAATAAGTAAATTGTGCAGGGAATGAGAAGGTGCTAAGTTCCTGCCTGGCTGGCTAGTCGTGGAAGTCGGGCACCCGAGGCTGGACCCCATGAGCGGGCCAGGGGGTGCTGCCGAGGAGGAGGGGGG